ATCTTCTTTTTTGTTTCGTGTTTTCAGGACAGCGATAGCTCCACGTACAAACGGCAAGATCAGAAACGGCAATCAGATTGTTCTGATACTGCTCTGAAAACACGGTCGCATTCTCTGCGCTTCAAGATTCCCTTCCTTTGTTTATTAATATTTTTTTATCTTTTAATAGCTGGGTTGGATATAGCCTTTGGAGCTTTTATCACAACTTTCGCCTTTGATGTTCTTCACTGGCCTAAAGAAAAAGCGGCCAATTTATCGACAGTTTATTGGGGCTCTCTTGCCGCTGTGCGAGGTGTGTCAATAATTGTCTCGAAATTCTTAAATTCTTCCGTAATGATTATCTCTGATCTTTTACTATTAATCACATCTCTCTTCGCTATGGTTTTTCTAATTGAAAAGTTTGAATTTGCTATGTGGATCGGTACAGCAATGTCTGGGATCGGTCTGGCATCATTATATGCTGCTGGAATATCATGGGCAGAACGGTACATACACATCTCTGGGAAAATATCTGCTCTATTTAGTATTGGTGGCGGTGCTGGTAAATTTGTCTTCCCACCTTTAATTGGACACTTTTTTCATGTTAATGGGATGTCCTTTATTTATATATGTTTAAGCTCTTCTGTCGTTAACAGTGTCCTTTATTTGGCTCTGTATTTAGCAGCGCGCTGGCGCGGCGAACGATATTTACCCGTGTCTCAGGCAGCGAAGGCGACTGTACCGGAATCTACGACGACGGCGGCGGCCTTAATATAGAGTTATGTAAAAGTATTCTCGCACGCACAAAGAAGGTCAAGAATTGTAAAGCAAAATCTCTTTTTTTTAACTTTAGCCTGTTGTGTCCGATTTAAGAGACAAAACTAGATAAGGTCATTCAGCAGTTCCAACAGGAGAATATGAATTGAATTTACTGACATGTACTGCAAAGTTATAACTAAGCAGCAATTATATTGAAGACTATTTATGAATTCTTTCAGTCTGTTACTGCGATTGTTAACTTATTGTTTCAAGTCATACATTGCTGCTTTTTATAACCGCAATGCAATTATTGCCAATTCTTTTTCAATCGTCTCATATAGTTTGAATGAAAGACGCTTGGTAAATTTCGTAAATAGGTTCACTTTTTGCATACTTGTGCTATTTGTGTTCTTTAATGGAGAAAAAATCTTAATGACTAGTCATATTCATCGTCATCTTAAAAACAGCATCAGAAGCAAAGGAATTATCAACTCTTCACTCGAGGGACTAAAAGCTTTAAACATGTATGGCAAATAATTTTTGTAGTCCAAATGTAATATTTAAAAAGATCAATTGTGACAGTGAAGAACAATCTGATCCAAACACAATGTAACTAAGAACTAACGCATTAAAATGCTGTGTATTATCACAAATAATCAAACTTTTTCCTAATGGACAAAAAGAATAAACGGAATATAATAGTGAAACTAATGATTCTTTCGTTACTTAAAACCATGTTATCACTATTTTTACTAACGTTTTAAACCACTTCTTGTTACCCCTGCTGCTGTATTATTCACGTTCAGTGCATCAACACTCATAGTGGGGTACCTGTCCATTTGTGCTTTTGATTTTTTTCTTAATAAATAAAACAATAAAAGTTGATATGCAGATATCCCCGGATATAAGATCGTATTATATATGCCAAATATACATGTAAAATAATCAGTAATATTGGTAAAAGTTTAACAGAATTGGGTTTGAAGCCTAAAACTAGGATGTTTCCATTATAGGCTACCACTATTTGTGGCCTACTTCATTCTAATTTGTAATTTAAATCATTTATGTCATAGTGACAAGCCTTTAATTAATACAGTACTCAATATAATGTACACAGGTTGGCAATGGATACGAAATGAAATCTCATATGTGGGAACGCATTTTTCCAATAAAGGTAATTGATTGGAAATTTACGATATAACTATGAATGGGTGTACGGAATTGTCTACAGCGTCACCTTATTTACATCTGGTCACTGGCACCAAGTTACCTGTTCAAATATAAGGCGAGGCAATCAGAGAGAAACGAGGCGTCAAAAATTATCTAATTTGGTTGAGGATGGTTAAGAAAACTGTCCACGAATCCTTACAGGCTTAGAGCTGTTGTAATGAACTCTGCTCCCTGGCTAAGTGAAAAGGAAGGTAAGACCCACAATTTTAATGGGAAATATTCTCATTTTTGTGTAATTCAAAGATGTGAATTTTGGGCAAATCCAATAACCTATCCTGATAACTGATTTATCGGACATATCTTCAACCGCTGTGTGTATTTGAGCAGGACGCAATTTAGGATAGAAAACATCATAATGGAAAAAGTAGGCAGGACAGATCAATGTATCGAAATTTATAATGGAATGAGGTTAAGTATTATAAAGTCAGTACAAAACCCTGATACACAATTCCAATAATTGATATTCAAAGTACACTTTCATCATATTCACCTCATAAGTTCCAGTATTGGATGCTCTGGATAAGAACTCTGGCTAAGAACTGCTGGTTGTATGCTGTTAGATCTGTTAAATTGAGTTTGGAATCATTTTTTCTCAGCTCCAGGCTTTTCACACGTTAAATTATAAATAACTGTATACTACGAGTATCATGCCTTGATTCACATATATTGTAATTTTATTCCAGCATATACTGTTACACTGTCTGTATATAGCTTGATTGAGTCGACTTAGAGCTGCTGTAAACGAACTCTGCTCTGTGAGTGAAAAGGAGGGTAAGGGCTGCAATTTTAACGGAAAATGGGACTGAGTGCGTTATTGTGTAAATCAAAGACGTGGATGTGGGGCATATTCATCCTGACAAGCTCCGTGCTTTATCTGACATATCTTCAAGAGCTGACTGTAGGTGAGCAGAAAACAATTCATGAGAGAAAACATCTGAATGGAAGAAGTAAGCAATCCAAACCGATATATCGACTTGACGATACGACTCAATTTATCGACACAAAAAACCAAACAAAGATCATAACTTTATTTAATGATGAATGGGGATTTTTTGCCAAAGGAACTGACCGTTTGTTTGAAAAGCTACGCTGTCCGGTTTCAAATTGTATGTTAACTCTAGAGAGGGAGAAATTTTTCCATATAAGTGATGCAGTTGTCTTTAACATCCCCCCTTTGGTACGGTCCAATCAATTTCAACGATATTTGCGCGATTTGCATTCATTAAGGCGCAACACAAAACAGCGTTGGGTATTCTACACCCACGAGAGCCCTTGTTATAGGGGATTTGCGGAAAGATGGCAGGAGATGTATTCATTTTGGCAAATGGGATTCAACTGGACGATGACATATAGGCAGGATTCTGACATCCCGATCCAGTATGGCAGTATTATGAGGAGAGAAATACCTGTGAAAAGAGATTTTGTAGATGTTGCAAAAAGAAAAAGTAAACTTGTCGCTTGGTTTACTTCTCATTGCCAGACATTCAGTCGACGAGAAGATTATGTGAAAGAACTTCAGAAATATATACCGGTGGATATATATGGCACGTGCGGTAATTTGAAATGTAATACTGGTTTGCCAAAAACCAGTTATTATGGACCGCTAAATAGTGAATGTCTGCAGATTGTAAATAACACATATAAATTTTATTTGTCATTTGAAAATGCGTTTGCAACGGATTACATCACCGAAAAATATTTTAACACTGTGCCATTGGACGTCATTGCAATAGTGAGAGGTGGTGCCAACTACAGTCGACTCGGTATTTCAGCGTTCATGTATATCGACACCCGTAATTTTAACAGCCCACAATCCCTGGCATCTTATATACTGTCATTAGACAACAACGTGACTGAATATGCAAAACTCTTGAATTGGAAGAATTATTATACTGGTACATCGTATTTACCAAGCACGAGAAAACACTGGTGTGAGCTGTGCCGCAAACTCCACGAGGACAAATCACTTAGTATGCGTAACGATATACAAAACTGGTATAATGAAGACGAATGCCGCAAACCAACAGATATAGGTTTGTGATGTCTTCCAGACAAGAATTTAGAAGAGATTGTGAACAATGAAGACTGTGAATAGTGTTTACTTTTATTCAGACAGATCATACCGTTTGCCAAGTTGAAGAATTGCTTGAAAGAAAATCTCTTGCTATCCGTCTTGTTCTACCTAAGATTGAGTACTTTTTTTTTTACTCTTTCATCATTGTTATCAAGACAATGTTTTTATTTTCCTGTTTATGTCTATGTGTGCCACCTTAGTGTCTAACTGATCTCCAAATTTCCAGCTACAGTCTTGGAGACTGGTGAATTCCACGTGTTACAGTAAAAATTAAAACTCGAGATCGCGATTTTCTCGAAAACGAGTTTTTCAACGCCGCATTAAGAACACCATAGAGGTAAAGGCAAAATTGTTGAAAATAAAAAGGTATACCAAAAACCCAAAGTTCAAGGATGTTAATTGCCTAATTAAAAATACGATTGATAAAAGGCAATTCTGCTTTTTTCTTTTCAAACCAGATCTCTTCCCTTATTTGAACTTCTTCATAATTTATACCCCGTAAAAATTGCACCTCATCCGAACTCTTCCACGAATTGGTGCGAAGAGGATATGCGAAAATGTTTATGCGCATTTGCAAAATATAGTGGAGGAAAAAAGACTGTGGTTGCAAACCAACCAATAAATATTCATCAAAGAATGAGAAATTACATTATTCGTGTCCAAGATCCGCCTTAATCTGCCCGACGAGAGTGGTATTTCTTCCACAGCCAACTTTGGTTTTAAAAAACGCATAAACTTGTTGAAGTGTAAAGCATATATTTACCATCGATTATTCTTTATCTAAATTACAGACATGCTGCTCACATAGTGACCACACATGACAGCATAAATAAGCTAAACTTTGTAAATAATATAATCAAAAGAAATCACAGAAACAGCAAAAAATGACATGTTGGATGGACTTTGAGTGAATGAGGTAAAACTCAATAACAAGTAAAATTACAGCACATTGAAAAATGGATATTTGTAAGTAAATAAACTAGGAAGTTAAAACATTATAAAGTTGGTATTTCTGTTTGAAGCCTATACACGATTGCCTTTTAAGTTATAAACTGAAATAGTTCTATTCACAGAAAGTATGTATACCACAACATTAAAATGTACAAGTGTATACCATAAAGGTAGACTATACAGTGCAAACTCATCCACGTAAGCATCACAAGATTTATGTACACTGAATTCAATGTAAGAATTTCTCAAGTCACAACAATTTTCTGCCTGTACATGTATATACAAGGATAAAGTCAATATGACAAAGCCGTCCTAAACAAGATGTTCTCTTTACATTATTTGTCCCAATACATAATTCACCTTTCATAATTCATGGAGCAGACAGTCCAAATCATAAAATGTCACCCATACTCAAGTCGGCATCCTTTCAAAGTTTACCTTTTATGCCCATGCATTATTCAGGTTCATAAATTTAAATGCAAGTCCCATAAAAGTCTGCATTCTTATGAATAATTGGCTCTTAACTTGGCAAAATTTATATCAACAATTCTGACCAAAAGAACAATCACGCCCAGATAAGACAATAGACTAGTAGTAATATATTACCAGATATTTGAATGACAACAAAAGCAGCTCACACCATCAAATGTCTGGCTTAAAAATTTCCTGAACATCACTATCTGAAGCATTAATGTTTTCTCCCCGTGTAAATATTCCTTTATATTTGTAAACATGCAGGATGCTACATTTTCTTCTCACTTCAATTCTCTACGGTATTTCCAATATTTTACTAGAGACAAAGAATGATTTTAGAAATCACACACTAACAGGAAAATGGAGATCCTTTGACACTGATATGTACAATTTCTTTAAATGTAAATGTAAAAAAGAAAATAAAGCACTGTAAGCACCAGGCTTTACAGTGTCCTAATATAAAGCAACTCATCAAATTTGACATAGCTTGTTCACTTGAACCCTAATGAAAAAAATGCCATCCTAAATAAGGTAAATAAAAAAAAATTGTGACACAATTATTTTTTCTTATACTGGGTAGCAATACTTGTCCAAAGAAGACTAACCATACTCTTCAACAGTTAATAAATGTTTAATTCCCATTTCAAGGATTTACATGCAGCCAACATGGATATTCCATTTTTCATATGCTTATACAACCACCAATGAGTTGTTATTCTTTCTTAAATGCTATCTTAATACAGACTTTCTAAGTCAGACAAGTTACCAATTAAGGGTACATATATGTAATATCCCAATTTTACTTTGGTACAAGTCCTCTTGATGTTGGGAACATTTCTTTGGCATTCTGTGACTGGTTCCGTTTACTAGCTGTTTTAGGTCTGAAATATTTTATAACCATTTCTTAATCCTATATGAGAAATTTTGATAACTTATCATGTACTATTTTAAAACATAAAAAATGTTTTTTTAATGAGGGTCTTTTTTATATCTACTTATCATGTTTTACTAAAGAAGCACACACTATAAGATCATGCCTTCAGCAAATGCTATGAAAGGAAACATTCAAATCAGCTAATAAATATACTAATAATGTTCAAATAGACTTTTTAACTGCTCTTGCTCTTACCTGTCCTTTGCAGATTTTTCTCTTTTCTTAGCTTTGGGCTTACTCTTGCCACCAAAAATAGCATTGCTAAAAATAAAATGAAACAGGAACTAAAACAAGGTCAGGTTCAAACTTTAAGAAACAAAACCATTTCTATATAAACTTATTATATTCCAATAAAATAACCAGACTCTGTGTATTCCTATTTTTGCCTAACAAACCAAACCAAACATTTTGTTTACTATTCCCAAAGGAGAAATTAGTTGTTGGTGGATCTTATCTCTAAATATCTAATCCAACAGGTCATAATATCTCTCTCTCTCTCTCTCACACACACACACACGCACACACTTTTCCAGAGAAAGAGATTTTAGTCCTGAACAAGAACTTATTAACTGCATACCGCCAGCTTGTGGACTGATAAACCTCACTTGAATAACATGTATACTAACTTGCCTTATTTCACAAAAAATGTAAATACAAGATTTCCACAGATCCCCCCAAAAAAATGACTGACTTACCTTCCATCAATATCAATATCCTCCTCATCCTGAAGAGCAGCATCCAGGGCAGCCTGGACACGTGGCGCCACACAGGGGCCCTCGTAATCCCGTGTTGTTCTGTTTGGCATGTCCAACTCCAAACAGAGAATATTTTCACCCTTCAAGTACACATATGAAAAAAAATTATTTCAAGCTATAGTCAAAATAGCACTTAATATCAATTTCAAATATAATTTTCAACTACATGCAAGTGGATCAATTTACAGGCTCAAGCTGGCAAGAATCATTTATGCAATTGAAATTTCTTTCTTTTGTTTAAATGACTGAAACAAAATAGATGAATGATTTTAATGATACAGATATAATGTGTACTTCAGAAAAGTGTTTGAAGAACAGCAATTTGATCTTACAAAATGATCCATCCTTACTGTACTTCGGAGACAAATAGAAGAATAAAATCAGAGGAAAAGTAAAGAAACAGAGACGAGGTTCCACTTTCAAAACTTAACATAGAAGAGGGCATAGAACACAGCCAACAAGCTGTGTTAATGTCAGCTAATATACACATACCTTATATCTGAATGGGTTTCCTCCCATAGCTGCTGCCATTTTGGCATATTCTGAAATAGGCCTCCTGTTCCCAGCAGCTGAGATGGGACGTTTGGCCATTTGTGCTGGACTACAAGTACAATGAGAGTTTTTATGTCAGTATAATAAGAGACACACACACAGGTTGCAAACAATGATGTACAAAAATGTGAAACTTAAGTTTTTTTAAGCTAATCATTCACCCATTTGGTCTAAGATATTATACTCTTGTGTTGCATTCAAATGTGAGGCAATGTTATGTTAACTAATATTTTCTAACTATGTCTGATTGAGTGTTGAAATACAAAACTAACATTCTTTCCATACTGCTGCATAAGTGAAGAGATGACTTACTTCATTTTGCTGTGAGGCTGCAACCTCCAACTGTCCTCTTCTTCATCATACATTGCCCTGTTAAGGATCTTGTTCTTTTCTTCAGGAGGAATGAAGTTTTCAATAATCAGCATTCTGGAGAGAGGAAAGGAATAACTTTCATTGACTTCCTGAGATCTTATTTCCAATAACAGTAAAAATAAAAACATAATAAAAACCTAAAATAATCAACAATTTATAAATATTGTCCATTTACTGGTTTCTACATATACAATGAGAAAACAATTCATTTGAAACACATCTCTAAATACACATCCCCACACATAGGAACCCTTCAAGGAAAAAAGGAAATATCTGTTAAAACCTACTTGAGCTTCAGGTCTCTTGTAAGTTCATTTTGCGTCTGCTCCATTTCTTGCCTCTCCTGGACGTGTTCCTCCTGCAAGTCTTGGATTTCTTGCTTGGTTTGTTGTAGTTTAGCGAAAAGTTTTTTCAATTTCTTGGTTTTCACTTCCACTTCCTGCTCCAGTGAGACATACGTGTCCTGTAACTCTGTGGCTTTTTCTTCATTGGCTGCCAATGCTTGCTGCATTTCACGCTCTTTTCTCTGTTGAACAGAAGAAAAAAAGATGGACTTGAGTTCAGTTGTATTTAAACTACCTTCCATTGTATATCATAAGTGGCTGATAGGTTTAAGATTACCATCAAACTACAGATTTTCTGTTTCAATCCCCTCATTTTGATAAGAATAGACAGGAGAGAGAAAACTTAAACTATAAGAAACCAAAATCAAGTGCGATTTTAATATAAGCACCTCTATCATAATTTGTTTTTACCTTTTGTTCAGCTATCTCTTGCCTCCTCTGCTCTAGCGCCCTCTGCTGCTCGTTTGTGTGATCAACAATGTTTTTACCACCTCTCAAAAGCTTGCTTTCCATCAACTGCAGGGTAACAGAAATGCATATCAACTTCATTATCACTTAGGTAAAGATAAGATTCTAAATGAAAAGCTGGCAAAATGCATAAAAATTGTCATCATATTAATATAAAATTTGATAAATACTTCACAACTTTTCTATTATCTTTAAATACACATCATGAACAGTACTCAAATAACATTTAAATTCTGACTGCATGTTAAAAATTTAAACTTCTTTAAATTTATAAATATCATCTGAGCAACATATAAATAATACCTTGAGCTCCTCTGCAAGTTTGTTCTTTGCTTCCTTTTCCTTCCTTAGTGCCTCTTCTTTACCTTGAGCCTCTTTCAAGAGGCGTTCTTTTTCCTGAAAAGGATGAGAATTAAAAAAATGCTTGTAATTCAAATAAATCATAATAATTTAGAGATGCTGTGTTTATTTCTCTGCAAACATATCATGTGTATTAAGAACTAGCAAAAAAAAAACAAAAAATTTTTATAAAAAGTTTGTCCTGTTCATTAGAAAATGGCTAAGGCTTAAAAAATAACATTCAAAAAGATCAGAAGCTTTTTCATTATGAAGATGACAGTGGCTCCCCCTTTACCTCTGCAATAAGAGAAGCATTGTTGAGGATGGCATTCTTCTCCTCCTCTAGCTTACTCTGTTGCTGTTTGATATACTCCTCCTCATCAACTTCATCCCCTTCATCATCTTCTTCTGTTTCATCCTCAATTTCCTCCTCTATAGTTTCCCCTAAGAAAAGACAAAAATAATAATGTAAAAAGATGTATTACAAGTGCATTAAAAGAGGATGAAAATACTGAAAGAGGTCAACAATGAATCCCAGTTTATTCATTTCTCTTTTGTTGTGACATTTAAATATCTTATGGTAAAATATCAGATGTATCACCTATGTAATTAACTGTTGTTGATGCTGCTAAATACCCCTAAAAACACCTTTCAAATTAAAGATTTGATTCTAATTTCTCTTTTTTCTTTATCATTCTCTTATTACTTTTTTCAAAATTATATAATTGGAAAAAGAAGAACAATTTTTGAAATGGAAGACTACCATCAGGACCAATCCTTTGTCTCTTCTTCTTCTTCCTCTTCTTTCTTGGACCTCCCTTACTTTGCAGCTGTTCTTTTAACCTACAAAATGTAAATCCTATTTACAACTGTTGAAATGACTTGCAGCTTTATTTGTTAAATTTTCAGTTTTCATGTGAGTTTTTGATGAAAATTGCATTTCCATCTCACCTATTTATCTTCTCCTGGAATTCTCTGAGCAATGCGTCCTTGGGATCTTCGTTAATCTTGGGTTTGTTCTTGATATTCTTGGCTCTGTTAGCATATCTGAAAAAAATCAATAATTCTTTAGTCCAAGTAAAATGAAAACAGCCCAAAAACTGTCTTATAACCTTGAAAATAAAGGTTTTACCACAATTTATTTTTGATATGTAAAAACTGATTGAGATTTTGGAGCTTTGAGGTTAAATCCCCTTTGATGAGTATAATAAGTGCATGTGCTAGGTATTTGTAATGATGTTTCCTTGCAATTACCTCAATGTGGTGATAGTTTCATCATAATTATAACTGGCAGGGCCTATATTTGCTACCATCACAGTCTTTGCGTTTCCTCCTAGGGAGTCTGCAAGAAACAACAACAGCTAATATGCAATACAAAAGTCCATTTTTATTTCTAGTAGCTGTACAGATAATAGATAAACTTATATAACTAAACAAGTTGAACAAGTAGTCAGAAGTCATAAATACAGGAAAAGAAAATTCTCCAAAGGTGGGAAAAAAGCACTGCATCACAAGTCCAGTGCTAGAGTCATCTTTTCCTCTTCTGTTATATCATGCTACTGAATGAATCAGAAAATATTCACTAAATATATGAAAAACATATGGCTAACATCTCAATAACTAAACACAGAAATCGGATGCTCAGTGCTGCCTACCTTGTAACAACCTTGTAAGTTTAGAGTCTCTGTAAGGAATGTGTGAACTCTTGCCATCCACCAAGGCAGAGATAACATTACCCAGTGCTGACAAAGATAAGTTAATCTTGGTGGCCTCTTTCAGGCGATCACCCTGGAATAATAAACAGATTGCAGGGAATGCCTTAAATATCTATGAGAGAGAAACAATCTTTATTTACAATATAATTGCAACTGAGATCCAGCATTTTCACTGGGGACATTTCAATGAGTCATTGTGGTAGGAAATTGTGTCAATGATCATACCAAAAAATCACACATGACACTTACAGTAGCTCCTGTCTTTGTCTGCCTCTCACTGCCAGCCAAATCCACCATGTTTAGCTTGCCTACTCTGATGTGGTTCTCTCCATCATTTGTATCCTACAATAAGGAAGACAATATGTCACCAAGACCATGCTTTGTGATGCTGTCACATTTGCAAACTATTTATATAACTATAAACAGAGACAACTGATTCATCTCTATTATCTCTTAGCTTACATGCAACATATGAGAAATAAATCTGTAACTTAAAATATTGCATCAATTACCTTCTCAAGTTACTGGCCTAATAGGCACTGTATTAATACTAGGGATTGACTTGCATTGCCTATTCCTATTAAAACACCCACCTCACTGCATTCTATTGTCACCACCATGATAGCATGAGACCTTGAACTGTGCTCATTCATGTTAGTAGCCCTATTTTAAAGAAACTGACATAATTAGAACAAATATCAAATACATGTTACTCTTTCTAGAATTCAAACCAAATAATTGAAATGAAACTCCAATAGGAAAAGTCATTCTGCATTCTTTAATACGTGAAATATTAAAAATAAGAAAGGAATTAGAAAAAAAAGGTACTCATACAGTTGCATGATTCATTAATACACGCTACACTTTAAAGTTTATACAAATGAAAAATGTTCTTACCCAACTGCTCTGTTAGCATTCCCTGTATCCATGGCACGTTCTAATTCTTTAATACTTTTTGCCACACAAGCAGTGACTCCCTGCAATGAACCAGAAAATATAATTGAAGCATTCATTACATAAACAGAAACGATCCATAATTTCCTCAATGTTGTATAAAATAAACATAATCAAAACATTCACTCTCTCAAAATGAGAAATGAGAAAATCATCAATATACTTTCTGCTAACCTTTTACTTTACTTAAAAATTACAGATAAAAAAATTTCAATTATGGAGGAAACACGATATTCAAGTTTTTATTCGCCAAAAGAGGGCACACCTACAATCAAATTATGGACTTAGCACCCATTAGAATGTTTTTACACTATGGTATCAGCTGCAGCTATTTTTTCTTCTAAAAACACATAACTGCTACTACTAATCTAAAGAATAAAGTAAAGGTCTTTGCCATAAAACATTATCAGCTTGTAAAAAAATTTATCAATTTTGTCTGGCCTTGTAGATGTATGTATCTTTAGGACAGTATAGAAATATAGGAGAGCATGCTTATCATTTATCTTGGGATACCCACTTTAACATATACTCCAGTGTCTGGACTCTCCTTCAGTTCAAATTTCTTATTCTGGTCTTTATTTAAGAGATCTCGAATTTCTTCCTAAAATGGCAACAAATGTCAAAAATAAAATCAGAACTCTTCAAAACCATAAAATATTGGAAACATCCCATTTCTAGTTATTATTTGAATAAGACACAGACTCTGTATCTACTATGTTTCATTTCAATGCAAAGAGTAAACACACTTGAACCAGTCAGTGAACAAATTTTCTATAATTACTATAATCAAAAACCCTGGTTCCCTTACACAAATAGAAAAAAAAAATCATCATTACTAGGAAGGTAAATACAAAAACTGACTTAAGGCCGTCAGCAATTGCAAATTTCTTGAAAACAACTATCATGCTATTAAAATAAATTAAATAATTGCTGCTTCATTTAAACTAGAAATGTATACAGTCAGTTAATCAGAAAAAAAATATCATAATAGACATTCAGCTACACTACAGGCATATTCACCTGATAAATTTCAATATAGGATGCTCTGACTAAGTACTGCTGGTTTTGAGCTCGGGCTATATGCTGGTAGATATGTTCAAATGAGTTTGGTATTACTCCTCTGAGATCAGGGTCTGTCTTCACACCTAAATGTACAAATAACTATATATAATCATACCCTGATTCATATATTGCAAATCCATTTCAGCATAGCTCGATTGGGTTGACCTAAACTAGGCAGTTATATCACAAGTACGAATGTTGAATGTTATGATCATTATATAAATAAATGAACAAGTGAAATATTGTAGTCGCACCAGATATAAAATTACACCGAAGATTTCTGCCTACCCTGCATTGTAAATGTCTTTCCTGTCCCAGTTTGTCCATAAGCAAAGATGGTGCCGTTGAAACCATTCAGTACAGACTCTACCAAATCTCTGAATGTCTCATCATACAAGTCACACTGTTTTGAACTGAAACAAACATCAAAGGTAATATCACCAAAAAAACACACAAAAATAAAAGGATTTGAATAAAACAAATTCAATCTTATGTAATCAAATTAAAACAATCATAAAGTTGCAATGAGTATGAAGCTTAAAGCAGGAATAAACTTGATACTAATATGAAAACAATCATAATTCATTTTTAATATGTTTTTTAAAGTACCACTGTCTTCCTTAAAGAGGCCAAAAAGTTCAAACTTCATCAAGAGAAACCTTTTTTTGTAAATCTTTTCCAGAATAAGTGTTTAGTTACTATATCTAAAACTTACTCCCAATCATAGACAGAATCAAATGTGAATTTTTTGGGCAACTCTCCAGGCTTGGGGCTCTTGACTTCTACAACACCCCCTTTGACATCCATTTCCACAATCCTGAAAAAATCAGAAAAATTAATCATCAAAATTAGCTATAAAGAAATCCCATTAGCTATGATGAAATATGAAAAATGGCACATCTTATGGTCTTAGTAGTACCTTGCCAGGCATTAGGTAAAATAGCATCAATATACATTAGACATTAAGCATATGGCATACATCTACATGCAAATTATTCTGAGTTCATAATTACTTTTTAGCAAAAAAACAATATGGAAAGGGTATGTTAATTTCATTTCAGTATTTCCAATTACTGAATCAAATTCCATGGGTTAAAACAATATCAAATATTTCCTTTGGTTCTCAATATCATTTATTTTCCCCTAGGTTCTCAATATTATCTTTCACCATACCACCTGCAGTGTCACTGCTTTTACTGACAAAATACAGCAATGCGAGGACGTCAAAATAACTGTTTGCAGATAATTCAACATATAATGTACTTACAAAGTTCTACATTTAATGATGATCCAAACAGGTATATTTTGAGTGTTCCTTTCAGTAAATATATGTGGCATTAAGCCACTGCTAACTGTAATCATCACTTATGAACAGCTTGGGTAATGTTGCTATCAAGTTAGTAATGTCACTGAGATTTTGATTGCAGTAAAGTATACAAACCTTTGATGTCCTTGTTCTTTTTCCTTTGAATTTAAAGGCCGGCATCTTATCACCACTTTGACACACTCTGCACCTTTGCTAGAACCTTTAGATTTCGACTGGAATTACAACGTATAAAATACAACATTAAATGTATTCTGACAATATAATAGAGATTTTTTTCTTGCAGAAAGCCACTGCAATGAAAGAAATAAACAATACTGGTAATGTCACTCATAAAGTTTGACTGGAGCCCGATACAAAACGTCAGAAATTACAGATACATTGGAATAAGTCATAGCTCCATGCAAGACCATTCATAAGACAAAAAACATCAAAACACCTTCATTAAAACACTAAAACCTTCATTTGAGTATCTTCAACTAAGCAAATACCTGCTTTTTAAATCTCCTTGTGAGGGCACTCGAAGATCTATAACTAACTTTACTACTGGTTGCCATAGCCAAATGAGCAGATACTACTGGTTCTACACAGAGTTAACATATATGTACACCTCTCAAATTACTTCTTACAAGTTCCGACTTAATGCAATTTAGTGATCCCAGTATGGGGATGATTTGCCATCCACATTCAAACCACCCAAAGATCAAAACTGATGGTGAATTGTGGCTATAAGTAAGATCCTATTTTCTACACATGTTCAAGGCTAATAGTTTTATCATATCTTAATAGCTGCAGTATGACAAGAACACCATCCAAAAACGTGTTGACCAAATGATGCCCTTCTTCCTGCTGTGCATGTTGCATAATGAAAATATACAAAAATATCTGATCCAATATGCCTTCCTTCTGATAAAAATATTTATAGAGATGTACATGCCTCAGAAAGGTCATTTAAATGGGAAATGAAGCTGGAACAAAATTCAATGTATTAACCCTCATGTGGAGACTGCTTGATTAAAAGAAATCCATATGATGTGATGCGACCAATAACCCACCTTTATTAACTGACATAAACAATGGATATTTAATCTACGGTGTAAAGGAGGAAATAGAAATGTCCGGTAGAAAAAAAAAAAAATCATCTGCACCATTATTTTATCTGATTAAACAAGTAAATTAATGAATGAGTGAATAAGTGAATAAATAAACAAATGAACAAACCAGTTTTGTCAATGTGCTGAACTTCGAAAACAAAATGACTAGATATATTGAAAATATCTTTTTCAAAACACAGTTATATAATACAAAACTTCATAAAAAGAAATGGCAGGGCTCCGGGGTGTTAAATGTGGACTAGATGGTTAATTGCTGCTCCAAACTTAAGCACTTAAAATTTAGACAATTTACAATCATTTGGAATGGTTAAACTATTATCCTTGTTTAGATATTTACAAAGAACAGATCTACCAAATCTACAGAAACTGAATTATCCATGGGTTCTGAATTCTGAATCCTTTTTATTATTAATCATGCTTTTCATACCATGGAAGAGCCTATGAACCAGGTTTACTGATATCCAACTGCGAAGATGGCTGTAGGAGATTCAGGGATCTCATGTCCTTATGACTTTATATAAATCATGACTTGAACTTCAACACACACACACAAAAGTTTCAACCTGTACTTGGACCACTGAAAAAACAAGTCGGCAATAGCCCATATTTTTAGTCAATTCAGCCATTAGCTAAGTTGTTCCTGATACTGCAAAACAGCAATCAATACAAGGCTACTTCAGAGCAATGGTACTTGGTCTTATTATTCACACTTACCCACTATTCAAAATCAATACATTAAAATAGGAAGAGAAATGTTTGGTAGAGAAAACAAGACTTATAATATCAAAATTAAAAAGCATTATTTGGTTTCTCGTTCCATTGGGAAATAAAAAAAAACGATTCACCATGAGATGGCTATCATATAAAAAGAATCAGAATCTTTGTGACCTACAAAAATTTGTAAAAATTACATGAGTGAATAAAAGATGTAACACTTGACATTTTCTTTCCTGTCTCTTCATCAACTTCAAGAAGCAACCACATTTATATCAAAGATCAATAAGCTCATCAGAATGATGTGACCAACAACTATCCTCCACACAAATCAGGAATCAAATTACTTTGATCAGTTTTAGTGTTTGTAACAGTTTCAGTAAAAAATAGTTCTCTTTTTTAAGTTAAGTTCAAGAATCAATGAGTTCTGAGCAAAAGAAAAACAAAATCTTGGCAACCATGCTTATACAGTTTTACAATCACTGCATTGACCTTTACAGATTTCCATTCCATTATATGATTCCCTATCTCTCTGATATGTGTTAAGCTGTATACTAAGACTATTGGCATAATCCCAGTATTGTTGCTTGCTTTACCAGACAAGCAGCANAATTGTGGCTATAAGTAAGATCCTATTTTCTACACATGTTCAAGGCTAATAGTTTTATCATATCTTAATAGCTGCAGTATGACAAGAACACCATCCAAAAACGTGTTGACCAAATGATGCCCTTCTTCCTGCTGTGCATGTTGCATAATGAAAATATACAAAAATATCTGATCCAATATGCCTTCCTTCTGATAAAAATATTTATAGAGATGTACATGCCTCAGAAAGGTCATTTAAATGGGAAATGAAGCTGGAACAAAATTCAATGTATTAACCCTCATGTGGAGACTGCTTGATTAAAAGAAATCCATATGATGTGATGCGACCAATAACCCACCTTTATTAACTGACATAAACAATGGATATTTAATCTACGGTGTAAAGGAGGAAATAGAAATGTCCGGTAGAAAAAAAAAAAAATCATCTGCACCATTATTTTATCTGATTAAACAAGTAAATTAATGAATGAGTGAATAAGTGAATAAATAAACAAATGAACAAACCAGTTTTGTCAATGTGCTGAACTTCGAAAACAAAATGACTAGATATATTGAAAATATCTTTTTCAAAACACAGTTATATAATACAAAACTTCATAAAAAGAAATGGCAGGGCTCCGGGGTGTTAAATGTGGACTAGATGGTTAATTGCTGCTCCAAACTTAAGCACTTAAAATTTAGACAATTTCCAATCATTTGGAATGGTTAAACTATTATCCTTGTTTAGATATTTACAAAGAACAGATCTACCAAATCTACAGAAACTGAATTATCCATGGGTTCTGAATTATGAATCCTTTTTATTATTAATCATGCTTTTCATACCATGGAAGGGCCTATGAACCAGGTTTACTGATATCCAACTGCGAAGATGGCTGTAGGAGATTCAGGGATCTCATGTCCTTATGACTTTATATAAATCATGACTTGAACTTCAACACACACACACAAAAGTTTCAACCTGTACTTGGACCACTGAAAAAACAAGTCGGCAATAGCCCATATTTTTAGTCAATTCAGCCATTAGCTAAGTTGTTCCTGATACTGCAAAACAGCAATCAATACAAGGCTACTTCAGAGCAATGGTACTTGGTCTTATTATTCACACTTACCCACTATTCAAAATCAATACATTAAAATAGGAAGAGAAATGTTTGGTAGAGAAAACAAGACTTATAATATCAAAATTAAAAAGCATTATTTGGTTTCTCGTTCCATTGGGAAATAAAAAAAAACGATTCACCATGAGATGGCTATCATATAAAAAGAATCAGAATCTTTGTGACCTACAAAAATTTGTAAAAATTACATGAGTGAATAAAAGATGTAACACTTGACATTTTCTTTCCTGTCTCTTCATCAACTTCAAGAAGCAACCACATTTATATCAAAGATCAATAAGCTCATCAGAATGATGTGACCAACAACTATCCTCCACACAAATCAGGAATCAAATTACTTTGATCAGTTTTAGTGTTTGTAACAGTTTCAGTAAAAAATAGTTCTCTTTTTTAAGTTAAGTTCAAGAATCAATGAGTTCTGAGCAAAAGAAAAACAAAATCTTGGCAACCATGCTTATACAGTTTTACAATCACTGCATTGACCTTTACAGATTTCCATTCCATTATATGATTCCCTATCTCTCTGATATGTGTTAAGCTGTATACTAAGACTATTGGCATAATCCCAGTATTGTTGCTTGCTTTACCAGACAAGCAGCACTGTAGACTACTGTAACAAATGAGAATGAAAAGTTGTGCCATATGCTTGTGCATTTATTCCCTGGTTAATTGCCTAAACTGAAAATCCCAAAGGAAAAGAGAATATTGTAACTGCATATTTATGAATTGAACTAAACCCTATGGACAGATGTGGAGCCAGGGTTTCAAAAGCATATTGAACTTGGAGATTGCTTTGGAACCTATTTGAAAAATAAGGACCATTTCTAAGTTGTAAAGAGGAGGGTAATATGCAGAAAGTGTGTCATGGATCCCTGACACTGAACCAGTGGCAACCCTGTAAACATTTTAAAGGAATTCCATTTGGGGCATATGCTAAGTTTTAGACTTTTAGATAACATTTTAAAACACCTTTGATCAAATGTCATACCCCAAGTTACAAATGTTCTGCAAATATTCTAACGTTTTCAATGCAAAAATAATAAGGGGGGGGGGCTTTTTAATAGCCTTGCATTTTTTAAAAAATATATTCTGACAGAAAGGTTCCTTTACTTTGTTTTCACCTCTATCCAACCTTTACACTTTGACACTCCCATATCTTATGCCACTATGTATATTGAAGAGTAGTTATTTGCTCTGACTCACCATTTTGTATCAGTTCTGCTAGTGTTCCACTTCTTTATTTGCATGCAGTAGAAGTTCTAATTACCTTAAATCAGGTCATTATTCAGTCTGAAAAGAAAAAAATCTAACACTGTATAATGGAGACCCTTTTCCTTTTTAGGTATAAATTTTTCAACACAGAAGATATAATGGTGCCTGTTGGCGATAGAGCAGATAATATAAAATCTGGATTTTTCTGTGTATGAACATCATCAAGGTTTTTTTAAGAATCCCAATTCATATAAATTATTAATTTTATTGAGCAGTTAGAGTAAGAGGCACACCTATTAGGACAAGATGAAACCTATGCATGCTTCAAGCTCAATGGAGATTGATGGATGTAAGTCAACTAAACAGGAAATGTTACCATAAAGATGTATATTTTTTTCATAAATCTTATCTCAATTAGTAGCAAAATCTCCCTCTAAAACAGTCTGTAGGTTATCAAGCTAATAGGTTATGCAAAACATTACAAGTTTCTGGCCTCTGACTAACTTCACTTATTTCTTACAGGCAAGCACAACAGTGAATGTACTGTAACAAAACATGAAGACAGGGATGCTTCAGCTAAGAGACAAATTTCTGTAAGTGTGGACTTTAATTAAGTAACATTAAGTATGCTGCAAATGTCATTAAGTTTGTTACATCTCACGGCAAACCCAGCAACTTTCAGGGTGTAACAACACTTCTATCAACTTTAGTAATAATAAGCATGACAAAGAATATTTTCAACCATTATTGGCATTAAACACCAATTCTATTAATTTGTACAATCTGTCAACAGCACTTGTTTTGTGTTCTTTTGTTGAAAGTACAAAATATATCGTACATTCGACAAAATAGTGCGTCGCGTAAATCTTCAAATTTAGTAAATAAACATTAAGAAATAGCATAATGACAACTGACTCAACATTTGACCGATGCTAAAAAGTCACAAAATGAATTTCAGTGTTAGAAATGATTGCGTTGCCACTGCGCTTTCGTCTTGGCAGTAAAGGTTACTAATAATATCCAGCTATATTGTACTTTGAATCCACTTACCATTTCATTAAGGAAACGTAGAAAATATGTCGTGTATTTCCCTAGTGATATTTCAATCAGATTTTTCACCAAAAATTTCACGCATGCTCAGTTATCTCATTTACGGAAAAGGAAAGAAACTAGCATTAATATTAGCGCTTAAACTCAAGATAATCCAAATCCAAAGAATCTTCAATTTTCAATCTTCAATTTTATTAATGAATAAACATTGAGTAAGATCTTTTCAAAACTAAGGTACATATTTGCTTAAGTATCATCAAATTCAACGAAAATGATTTATGAATTAGTAACATTTTTAGCATATATACAATTTATTTCGTTCGTTCATTAACTTAATAAGACCTGTTGTGCAAGTGTGTTGTCAGTGCAACAGGTGAAACGGCAGGGCAATGTTTTTAAAAGTTCACAAGACCAATATTGCGCCCAAGGTAAGTTTGTTAACAGCCCGTTTGGCTGATATGGGCATATTTGAAAGGAAGATTAAGATTAATTCGTGGAATAAATTGATAGATATTGGTTTTTGCAGACTTGTGTAAATCACAGAGCTGGCAAAGATCCCTTCGATTTTCAAAGTTCGTGTCCGCCTTCCTTTTCCAACTCGCTCTTCATTTCATTACTAAATTGCTTTGGTTGTTTGTATTGTAATGTTTAAATCGGGTATTCGAGGTCAATGTCACGAGGTAAAAACACGTAAAAGCAACACGAAGGTGGTCAAAGTGAAGTTGTTGAAATTATATTTGAACATCACATTACTGTACATGTATGCTTGCTTTTAAGAAGTTAACCGGCATTTATAAACTTATAGACTTTATATTCATCTGAATTAGGAGTTTCTTAGTTTGAATACTTACGTCAAGACAATCGTTTTTTTATAATGAAATAAAATATACATGTATAAATTTTCATTTTGACAGAGTTCGGATTTAGGACGGGGGGGGGGGAGGGGGTTGATATATCTCTTTCATAGGAATCAGATGCAAGGGTAAAAATGCTGTTACTTATGTCAAAAAGTATTAAAATATTAGACAATTGTACAAAAAACGTATTTTGGGTTTATATATATATATATATATATATCTGTAACAGCTTTCAAAGATTTGCTACTGTATGTACCCACCTGCAGTGTTGTCAAAAGACATGTTGGGTTTCGTCTCTAATGTTGTTAATTGAGTGCAGTGCTTGTTAAACCAATCATATTCTAGCCCTTCTTTTATTTTTGATTAACTATCAAATAAATAGATTCATCCCAGCGATTTAAGTTATGAGAAAGAAAAAATGTGAGAAATCCATAATTTAGATAAACAATATAACCACTTATTCTAAGCATATATAAAGCAGAAAATCAGTACAATTATATCCACTATAAGTGCAGTTCATCTAAATACTTTATTGACACACCTTAAAGGGATAATAACTCTTCGTATGAGATCTATATTTCACAATAAAAACATTGTGAACAACTCATAGAAATATAATATATTCTGTTTTACCACAAAAACGGTAGTTATAGCTATTATTCTGATATCTGAGCTTGTCTTTATATCATGTGACCTCCATTGATGGCTATACTCTGTTAAAATCTCTTAAAGGATTTGAACAAAAAACCAAACTTTTTGGAAAAAAAACCAGGGACTAAATTTGAATGTAAAAATGGATTCATTAACCATTGGTAAGAATGGGAAAATTGTTGTTTACTCCAGGAAAATTCATTTTTTAGCCGAAACGAAGAGTTATTATCCCTTTAATATTAGCTTTTTATTTATCTGAAAATCATGATTATTTTAATTATTTTAAAACACAAGTTTGAACAGGGTCTGAGATCCCTTTTTTATAAAAGTTAAATATAGTTCAAATACATGTAATAGACATCGTCTTATGATAGTTGGCATAATGTCACAAAATTAAAATTTCCATTCCAAACGCAATCGATTTAGTCTGAAATATTAAAATATCATACCTTGGTAGGTTGAAACTCAAAGGGAAAGTTCATGACAACAGCACAAAAGTGGTTGTAAGGATGTCACTTGCAGCTTAGATCAGGATTCACTACTAGATAGTTAGATGTGCAGTTCATGCACTATTTTAGAACACTGTTTTTTATGAGAGAACAGTTTTATTAGCTCTGTATGTATCAATTTAAATTATTGTTTTTCTTTTTATCAAGAGCTTTTAAAATATGTTATTAAATAATATACCGTAGTCATTTACTCCCTGATGATGGTGACTGACAGTCACAGAAATATTGGAGGTAATACCCACATATTTTATAAGCTCTTGATAAAAAGAAAAACAATAATTTAAAGTGTTTTTTAGCTTTCAATTCCAACCTTTTAAATGTCAAGAATTTTTTTTAGTTTTTTATTTTTATTTGTTGTTGTGTTGGTGCATGAAATAGTGGTGAAATGCCAATTTAACTCCCCTTTCCTTTAGGATTGAATGTTTTTTTCAACACCTGGGTTCTTTTTGCTGGCCAGCATGGGGCCATACACCACACCCCCTCATTATTAAAATTTCAGCTCGTTTTCCTTTGACAGTTTAGTGGGTAATTTGTGTGACCAGGTGAGCATTGATTGTTAAGTGTACAGAGTTGTCAGGTCCAGTTTATTTTTGAGAGAAAGATTGTTGGCATGGTCATTAACAGCTCTGTTAGATGGCAGCTGAATAATGTAAGAAAATACCATGTATTTACATAAAGACAGATGCTCAATGAATACAGTTGATTGTTACACAGTACCAAGTTTGTACATTTATTTGTTAATGTGACTTATCTCGATGTACTGCGAACAACAACAAACTTGGAGCAGCTGATATTGATGCAGATGATGAATAAAATATGCTTTCTGTAGGTGTGTGTATATGCCCTCATGTAATTAACTTTTAGACAAACTGTATTTTTAGACATAGACAGCACTTACTAGCAAGTCAGGTGTTTAGAATCAGACCATATAAAACTTTAAGCTGAGGCAGAAAATCCTAAATGTTCTTATTTTGGAAAAGCTGTCATTTAGGTAAAGTATATGTCAGAGGGAAGAGATATTAATTACCATGTAGTAGATTGTGGGTTGTTTTTATGATAGTATTTATAATCATTTACTGATTTTAAAGATATGATTGACATGTTTACAACAAGCTAATCAGTGAACCAATCAGTGTCAGTCTTGAAGGGCATTCAGAACAAGTAAATCTGCGGACTAAATATGGCCCACTTACTTAAAAGCAGCACCAACTAATTCCCTGATAGCCTCTCTGCCTCTTTAAAAGCAGTTGTTGCAGGGGCATTTAAACCTCCGAGCCGGGATTTAGTCTGTTAATTAAAAGCAGTGCTTGTTAAACCAATCATATTCTAGCCCTTGTTTTATTTTTGGTTTACTATCAAATAAATTGATTTATGTCAGTGATACAAGTTTTAAGAAAGAAAAAAATGTGAGAAATCCATAATTTAGATAAACAATATAGCCACTTATTCTAAAGCAGAAAACCAATCCACTTATATCCAGTTCATCTAAATACTTTATTGACACACCTTAATATAAGCTTTTTATTTGATTTATAAGATATTAGCCATTTTTATGATAAATATCTGAAAATCATGATTATTAACACAAGTTTGAACAGGGTCTGAGTTAAAATTAAATATAGTACAAATACATGTAATAGACATTGTCTTATGATAGTTGGCATAATGTCACAAAATTAAAATTTCCATTCCAAATGCAATTAGATTTAGCCAGTGAAATATTAAAAAATCATACCTTGGTAGGTTGAAACTCTTTATTTACATAAAGACAGATGCTCAATGAATACAGTTTACTGTTACACAGTACCAAGTGTGTACATTTATTTGTTAATGTGACTTATCTCGATGTACTGCGAACAACAACAAACTTGGAGCAGCTGATATTGATGCAAATGATGAATAAAATATGCTTTCTGTAGGAGATTTAGTCTGTTTAAATGCATGTGTAGAGGGGGAAGACCATTAGGGGATTAAGTGGCGCAGCTTTTAAGTGGGGTCAGCCATATTTGTTGACCAATCAGTAAGTATGCGAATCATCTTTTCTGAATGCGCTCTTAATACAACACCTTATATTAAAAAGACAAACCCATGAATTGGAGCCAGTAAAAGTTTTTTGGGACCTGTGCATTTTTTAGAATGAATTGGTTCAGTATGGACATTTTTCCTTAAAGTTTTCAAAAGAGGTTTTTAATTTGATTAATTTTTTTTCTGAAATGTAACTGTTACAAAGCTGATTTTAGATTTAAGAAGCGTTTGACAAAATCAAGGTCTTGCTATTACTAATATTTTCTGGTCTTACTGAAAGTTTTATTCCTACCAATAAATCCTAATTCAAACCAGTAAATTTTAGGAAAGTGGCGGTCTGAATAGCCAATAAGCAGAAAATTTTATGGCACAAACTGTGATTTTAGAAAGAGAAGAAAAAAAAAACTAAAGAAGAGTTCTAGTACAAATTGAAGGCATCATCTTAACTATTGACTTTGATTGAAAAAAGCATTGAATGAACTCAACTATGTATTTGTATCTCCTACATTTAATGATTGCTCTTTTTTCTGCTCTTTATACAAAGTACTAACATGAATATTTGTAGTTGCTAGTTGATTAGCATGACATTTGATCTTTAAACAATATCCTCAAATGTTAACTGGGCTTAGTTTTACAATCTGCATTTTTGTATTCAAGGCATGCCTGGGGTCAGACCTTCAGGGGGAAAATAAAGTAGATCTGTATGTTTTTCATTTATGCATACTAAATAAATCTGTAAAATAATGCCCATTTACATGTAGTCAGCAACTAAACTAAAAACATTTCATGCAGGTTCAGAATTTGCATTATATGCAGATAAGCTCATATTTGTTTTTTAGTCTCAAAATATTTTCTACAATCAAAGACTGAAAAATAAGATTGATGAATTTCCTTTTTGGACAAAATATTCATTGTTTTTAACATGAACAATTAAGTATGCTTGTGCCAAATGAAGGCTTAATAACCTTGTGTCTAGACTATGATATTGGAGAACAAATAATGTGGATAATGAGTATGTTATGCAACTTTGTATGTGATGAACAAAAGAAC